AACCCCTGCAGCACCATTGTCCGCATGTGTTGCAACTTATTTACGTGCCACGCCAGGATTCGTTTCCACTATATATCTAGCTATTCCCTGTCGGAGCACCCAATCTGCGTACCAAGAACTTAATGCCACGCGCCAGACAACAAAGAAAAACTCTCCTGAAAAAAAATGAGGAAACCCCACAAGAAAATGCAAAATTTATCATTTGCTGCAATGAGCTCTTCCGAATCTCTGAAGAAATCCCATACTTTACCATCACACAATGATTTCTTGGGTGGCAGGATGCAAACTAGCAAATTGTTGGTGCTGATATATTTACTAATCTTAGTTTTTTTTAATTTTTTAATTTTTTTTGTCAATTTAAAGTACTTTAAACATTGTTCTTCGTGAAACCTTTATAAATTATGTTGAAAGATTAATTAAGACCATTTTATCAGAATTGCTCCAACTTTTATCTCAGAGTTGCATCTTTCAATTGTATAATTCTTCAATAAAATGTAGAATTCACACAACGCATAAACGAAGCGGCGACTAAAACTTTGCAGCTTTGACAATAAAAAAGTTTAAAGTCCTTGTGCACCATTAACCAGACTGAGACAATGACTCGACACACACTCCCGAAAAGACAAAGTTGAGTCACCCGGGCACCACCCATAAAGTCTGCAGATTTCCACACAGCCAAATGTTTGCGTAAATTTTCCTGCAACAATTTTGCCTTTGGCCAAAAGGAAGATTCATTTTTTGGGTAGGTGATGGTGGTGGGTGTTGCTGCAAGGTGACACATTCCTTTGATAGCTAGCAAGTGGCTGCATCTACTCTGTGCTTGTTGACTTTCCTTTGTTTTTATTTTTTTTTACTACTGAGGATATTTTTCATTTTTCAATGCCAAAGGACAAAGGGACGAAGGACTCTTTTTTCGTTACTCACTCTTTCTAGTTCTTTCCGTTTGGCAATCATATTGGGATCAGCATTGTAAATTGCCCGACCAGAGTCCCATATTTCTTTATTTCTTTGCCTGATTTTGATAAATGAGGCGAGGGGCAAAATTGAGGAGATGGAAAAATCTCCCTAGGCACAGCTTGTAGCATTTGATTGCCCCTTGCCACGGCAAAAGTTAAACATTATTTCCTTATTTATTTCCCTCAACTTTCCAGACTCCCCAGAACCCTTTTGCACGCATTTCCTTTCGCTTTCGCTGGTTTTTGTTGCCCGAAAACATAAATTTGCTTTGTCGCAGCTTCCGTCTGGTCATGTTTTATTTTTTGTTGGGTTTTTCCTGCTTATTTTTCCTGCTTCGTGTTGAACAGTTTCACAAGCTCTGAACATTGGTAAACTTTTTCCCCAACCCTCTTGGTTGCTTTTGCAAATGAGATTTCGTTCAGTTTGCTGTGATAAATTGTTGATGGCCCTGAATGTGCTTACATGGATGGTGTGGGTGGGAATTTGCCAGGGGTGACGAGAGGTTAGATTCCGATTTTTTGGGAGTATGACTCTGGGTGGCATTTGGCATTTCGCTTGCTGAGAAATTTTTGGGGTAAGCTGAGTAAGGAATTCCCTTGACTTTTTTCGCTTCCTAGGAGTTCTCCACCGCTCTCTTTCGGTTTCCTTTTAATCCAATTCAATGAACATAATATGGAAATTGTTCTTTGGAATTTGCGGAGGTAAAGGCTCAAATGACCTCTGATGGTAGGGAGAAAAACTCAAGGATTTTAAAAATTAACGTTAGGGAATGAATAATAAAATTAAACAAGTTTTAGCTTTACTTCTTAAACTACCAGAATATTTCAACCTTATTCAACTATGAGATAATTATTCAAAGAAACACAAAATTCGACGCTGAAATTTTAATGAAATATGCAAATGATTAAGCAGCTAAGGACTGTACGATGGGTATTTCTGTGGTCAGTCAGTGGAAGTAATTGTTGAAATTATGCGCTAATATTTTGCACAGTCAACAATAAAAATAGCGAATGTTGAACTCATTTCGTAATTAACTAAGACAGAACTGAAATCCAATTAAAAGTTAAACGCCACAAAGGCAAAACCCATTGAAGAGTGTCTGCCAAGGAGCAAGGTGTTAAAACACTGCACGAATATCGCTGTTCAAATTAAATTATTAGGGTGTTAATATTGTTAAGAAATTTCCGTTTTTCTGTCAATAAGTTCTTTTAAATCTACGACACAGACTTTCCTGCCTGAGAAAGAATACATCTGAGAATATATTCAATAATATAAAATTTGATCTTTTAAAGATCTGTATTGTCTTAAATGACCACTTACAATAATATATTAATTTTTAGGATATCTTTCTAATTCTTCTCAGTGTGAGATCTTGAAGTAGTGCATTTTTTTTCTCCTTGGCGCGGTGGTCAAGTTGAAGGCTTCCGGTTAGCTGCAGTCGAGGCCAAAAGGAGTAAGCGAGCAGCGAGCTTAGCATATTATAAATAACATCCAAACACGCAAACCGTTTGGCCAGGTGAAAACTACGGAAAGAGGGGAAGCCCCAAACGAGTTAACGAAGCCATTGGCCGTAGTGTTGCGTGCCCAAAACTCTTTTGGCCAAAAGACCAAACTGAACCGAAAGAGAAACTTTTGCAGCTGCAGGACGATGAACAGGAACTACGGGAACCGTAAGGAACTTTGATTAAGTTTTCCATCGACTTAAAGTTTCTGCCTGCGAGGCGGCAAAATTAACTAACACGGAATTGTGAGAACCGCGTTATATAGGGAGAGAAAGAGATAGAGAGAGAGAGAGAGGGAAAGAGATGGCGAAAAGGACGTGCTTGGGTTCTCTATGAACAAGAGCCCGGATAAGTATGCTATAGAGATTCTCGATGGCACGTAAACATATAAAGATGAGTGCGAGAGAGACACCAACATAGCGCGCGAGAGGGAGAGAGAGGACGATGGGATAGACCGAACCTCCTTTATGATTATTGTCTTAAAATTAATCAATGTGCGTGCCTGAATTGGACAAACTTTTTGGCTGGCATCCTAATAGATTTTGGGCCCTTCCCCACTGCCATCGTCTATGTTTGTGTTTTGCATTTAATTGATATCCACAATTTATGCGTAAACAGTAAATATTCGCTAAGGGAACTAGAATACATAAATATTCAAAATTAATTATTTTTTAAAATTTACAATGGTGTGTGTCTAATAAATATTTTCCTTATAAACAATTTTTAGTTCTCAAGAAAGAAACACTCATTTTGGGACTAAAATTTAAGAGAATATTTATAAAAAATAAAATAAAAAAAAGAGTTCAGTATACAGTAAGTAAAGATTCTTCTAACCTTTATTCAGTAAAGCATATAAAAAAACAGTTACTTTACTTTTTCTCTGATTCTGACGACTTTAATATCATCTCAAAAAGTTTACCTTTATTGTATAAATCAAGACTATGTTTCCAGTTGTAAAAGTTTACTGGGTAAATCCCAACACCAACATCGCCACCAGCTTCAGGTCAGACTTTAATACTTTCGTGGGAGATTAATTAAATTACAGGCAATATTTGTTATGCAGAGGACAACGCCAGCCGAAGGATTTGCTTTCCAAGCGAAACAAATTTTTCTGGCGTGTGGAAAGTTTTCCTAAAAGAGAACTTTCCCACTTGCGGTGTGGTTTCGGATGTGCAGCTGTGTGTGGTGTTGGTGGTTGGAGTATGACAGGCTTTTGACGTGGTTATTTTTGACAGTGTTTGCGGCCGATTTGTCGTTTGAAATACCCAACACTTTGCGGCCGGATTGTCAAAAGACACCTGCGGCCAAGGTTTCGATTAACTATTTGATTTTCGACAGGCCGCAAAAAACACTCCTCAAAGGCTGCTCACGTCATTTGCATAAGGCTGAGGCGCCACACTTCGCTAAATGTTAACCAGCTGTCTCTGAACGCCTTGCTTGCTAGCTAGCAACGATCACAATATTTCTTACACAGAGAAACATTTTCAATACTATGTTATTTTAACCAAAATAAAAAAGCAATTTTCGACAAGTAGAAATTTATATGCCCTAGCAGCTGTTACACAAATATAATATTGTATATTCAATGTTGGATACCTAAAAACATAAGTGTAAAAGTACTATTTGACGCTTAGAAATGGAAAATTTAATGAAGATATGCGATTACGATTTTATCTGTGTACTTTTCTCTCTCTTTTTTCCCCCATCAAGTGTCAACCACCATTTTATGTATCTTTAAATATAGGAAAGAAAAAATGCAAATAAGAGCGGAAAGTGGAAGCACATTTTAAACTGTCATCAGTTTAAGCTGATGAAATTGCTCACAGACAGACCCCCAAACCCCCATTCTTTTTTCTGTCCACTTTTCGTTCTTGGTTCATTTGCCATCATCGTCAATAATATGACATAAGTATACTTCCAAGCAATAGTCCTTTACCAAAGTTTTTCCGTTTTCATCTCGTGACGCCCGCTGTGGCTGAGCTTCGTTGATTTCATAATGTTTTCTGGCTGCTTTTCTATTTTTTGATTTAGTGCCTGACATGGTTTCGTCCTTTCTCTCAAGCGAAATAGCTACAGATATTTATTTGTATTATTTTCCTACTTTCTGTTCGTGTTTTTATTGGCTCTGCTGATTATGATGCTATTTTTGACACTTGATAAAGTCAATAAACACACAAAATGGTCTTGTCAAATAATAGACTTGACCTTTGAGTTTGACCAAGAGTATATAGGTTTTAAGTTAAATATATTGTATTTTTTTAAAAGCTTTCCCTTAAACAAAAAATCACAAACATTTCAAGAATATATATTTTAACCCATGGCTTAATAGGTCCATCAGTAACTAAGCCTCAGCTTTGGGGAATAAATAATAATCATTTTGCTCCCACTGAATGTAGCCTATCAGCTAGGACATTTATTAAAGCAACGGCTTTTTGGCTTTATTGCTTAACCGTGCATTTGATTCATCGATTTCATGTGGCCATCATAAATCAATTTATTTATATTTCCATTTCGGTGGGTTTCTTTATTTTTTTTTTGCAGCATCAACCATAACAAATTGGAGTCAACCAAACGGAACCAACTTTGAGGCAAAAGTGCGTTACGGTTCCGCCAATTAATATCGATGGTAAGTTGATCTTTATTCCCGAAAATATTTGTTTGCTTTTTGTTTTGCGTTTTACATAAATTGCATTTTGCAATAAAAATTCTTTGATCATAAACTCAATTAAGTCTCTATGGTGTATAAATATTTCGGAATATGCAGTTTAATGAAATTGATGGTGGGTTCATTTAATTTGTTTGCACACATGAGAGAGGATGTAGATTATTCAAGAATTTAAGTTATCTGGGTACATTAAAAAAAGTGAAAAGTAAATTTTAGTATTTATATTTATGGTGTACGTAATATTAGTTTTTAACTTGGTTACGCAAACCGTTCTTTATTGTTTATATCAAATTTAATATAAATTTATAAATATTGCTAGTCAACATTTTATTCTAAAGAGCTGTTATTTAATCGATAAAAGAGTAATCAAACTTCCCAGAGCTAGAACCCCAATCCTGCGAAATTGGTTTTGTATTTTTTGGAAACTCCAGCTTGCTCCATTTTTAATGCAGTTTGTTGAACTTTTCCCGTGCAATTTGTATTACTAATGCGGACGGCAAACAAAGATGAGTTGGGGAAAAGTGCAGGAAAAATAGAAATGGCAAGCCAATGAGTCGAATGATTCGGGCAATTGCGATTCCAAAGGAGCAAAACTGTTCGCTCTCCTTGGTAGCTGGCCCAGATATCCTTCGGTTTGAGGCGGAAAGATGTCCGTAATAATTCACTTCTGGCAAGGGTGAGCTGGAAAAAAGGATTAAATATGCAGCACAAGTCGAGACCAGGAAAACTCTTAGTCACACGGAAAGAGCACGAGAAAACAGCAGCTGAAAAGTTTAGTTTAAGTGTAGAAACAACAACAACATCGACGACGACAGCAAGTAGAACTTGGCTTAAATGCGCTCATGTGCAAAAATGCCATTGTTTTGGATTTGGTCGTAAACAAAGCGGTGAAGCGAAGGCAAAAAATTTCCTTTTCCCTTTTTCCAAGACCAGAGAAAAACTAGGCGAAAAAGAGGAAGGCAAGTTGGAAGAGAAAATGAAAACGGAAGCCTCAGACTAGTACTGCAAATAAGTGTAAAAGGTTGGTCAAACTTTTAGACTTGGTTAATTCCCTGGAAGAACGATCATAAAAGCATTAGGAAAGTGTCTTATTAGACTTAAGAATTCATACAGTTGTCCTTTTTACTTTATTAAGAAGTACTTTAGAAATAACAACTTACTAGTATTTTTTTAAGTCTCAAAGATTATAATCTTTAGGTTTCCGAAACATTCAATAATCTTTTAATTCGAATGTACCCAAATGGTTGTGGTTTTGTTTTTTTAGAGTGTATGACCAAGTAACAATAGAAACAGGGACAACAACAATGCCCGTTCAGCTCTTGGAAACTCTTTCCTACGCATACACACAGATGGACTTTCGAACTGGAAAGGAGTAATGGAATGGGTGTGAGCCAAGAATTCTAGATCCTTTTTAGTTTCATTTCTACTTGAGGAGTGGGTAAAAAGTGCTATTGGGTTTTTGGGTTCTTCCTTCTGCTTTTGCTTTCAACGTGCGTAGTTTTCAAGAGGAATAAAGGGGGAGAATGCGGCTGTGGGGCTGCAGACTGTGCCACAAATGGCGTCACATGCTAAAAACCCAAACAGCAACGGCAACTACCCCAACAACAACGACAATGTTGAAAATGTTTGCTTGCAATCTCACTGCAAAAACTTTTAAAATGCTACAAAAAAAGGGGGAAACCTAGACGACGTGGGCGGAGAAGTTGGGGATCTCTCGAGTGACTACAAGTCATAAAGTACACAACACAACAGGGCAAACACGGAAAGGACAATACGCAGACATTCAAGTCCTCCTCGAACAGTCGACTGCACAAAATGTCCCCCAAAAATGTTCGTGTCTTGTTGCTCGTTTCTCGGTTCTCGTTTCCTGGTTGAATTGCAGTCACATTTCTGGCATATGTCACCACACCATATGCAATTACAGGACTCCAGGCAAACATTCACATTGAAAACATTTTAACCAAAATAGAATGTACTCTATACTCCTTCCCAGAACTCAACAAAGACGACAAAGCCCCGTCCATTAATAATTCTGAATGGCCGCCAACAAATTGACCATCCAAAAAGAGATCCCTCTTCTGACCCATGTGAGTTTTTCCAGAAGTGCCGGAAAACAGCAACAGTTCCGTAAAAATGGCTTATAAATTATTATGGCACAAAAGAAGTAAAAGTATTTGTTCGCTCACTTTCGCAGCGTAGCCGAGTTTATAAATTGGCAATAAAAACCAGAAGCGGCAGAGAAAAGTCGGTGGTTTAAGGGCGACAAAAAAACTTTGCGACAAATTGTCGAAAAAAAGCTGCACTAAAAATATGGGACAGGCTCGCCGGTTGCCCACTTTTATTCGGGGGATTATGGAAAATGTTTTTAAACCGTAAATTTATGGTGTATATTCTTGATTCAGTTACAAAAATGTAATAAATAAAGTAATTTATACGAAATACGAATACCAAATATTAATCTTATTTACGTTCTTTGAACCTTCAAAATATTTTAGGGAATTTACTAACTTAATATAATTAATTACAATTTTAAAAGTCCAGAAGTCTCTTACTTTCGTACCGTCGAATCTACCCTTGAATCTGGTATTAAATGGTCATTCAACATTGTTGTAAATGCTTTAGTCAACAATTGGTTGGCCACTTTATTTGTATAAAATGGATTCTATCTAAATATTTATGGTTTTAGTTTAGAGTTGTCTTTATTAGACCGCTTTTATTTTCCTATTCCCATTCCGTTATCCGTTATCCATTGTTTGGCTTTCATTTTGGAAAATTGATTTGTCTATTTAGATAAATTCATACTGTGAGCATTTCATGCGGATACGTTGTCTATATGGATGGGTAAAATAACATTTCCATTTAGTTGATTAATTGTCAATCAAGGATATTTGCTTTTCGCTGCCTTTTAACCACGCCGCAAGGAAATGCCTGCTGGCTGATTTTAGAATATTTCCTTGGCCCTACCGTTTCTCTATCTTCTTTGTCTACCTCTTATCTCTCGTTCATCTGGTTTTCCTTCGTCATGTGTCAGCTGCCTTCGCATTGCAAATAAATATTTTATGGCATTTTGGATGCGCTCCCCCCGTCCCCTCGCTCCAGGTTACAAATACAATATGGCCGCCGCCATTTTGGCATTCACTATTTCGCCATTTTTACCATTCCGCCATATTTCATTTCCGCTCCTTCCATGTGATTGTTGTTTTTGCTCCCGCTTCCTTTGTTTGTTTGTTTGCTGCTGCCATGGCGCATTTTGTGAAAAGTCAATTATTTATGCATGTCACGTTATTTTTCGACAAAAAGGCACAAAAAAACTGAAAGAAAGGAAGAAAACCCCACCAAACCCAACCAAATAATCATGAGTTGGGTATGCAATGAAACAAATAGCAAAAAAAAGAGGCGAAATTTGCGCTAAAATGGCCAAAAATTCAAATGTCACCGCCAGCAGCAACCGCATGTTCTCCTTCCCAATTTTACCCCCATTAGCTCGGCTTTTTCGGCTTTTTCTTCTCGCATTTCCACCGTCAACATTTTCACATTCGTTAGGTGGCAAGCTGATTATTAGATTTCACATCTATGTGTGCCTTGTGTGTTTTTGTGTAATTTTGGTTATATATTTTCGCTTTGCTGTGTGTGCTAGAAGGGAGGGAGCGAAACTAGAGAAAGGCACAATGGTAGCGGCTGCCGAATCATGACAACACATGCGATTGAAGGCAATTGAATTGTAATTCAATGGAATAAAAAAATTTCTTCATTTGCTGCCAAAGTAATTTTTTCATTTTATTATGTCAGCACAATGTAGGTACATATAAGCACGTAAACAAAGAATAATTAAGAAAGGTCTCGCAGAAAAGTTGAGAATTTTAAATAAAAGTGACTTAACAAAATTCTGTGTTATTTTTTTGTAGTAAAAAAATCAACTCCTAACACACAGTAAATGGGATTAAATACTAGAAAGATTTTATTTGGTCGAAAGTCACTGCAGAAATCTGCTGTTGCATTTATTATTACCGTTCGTTGTAAGTTTTGCCGCCTGATTTCTTAATGACACATGTGGCAGACCAGCATAAAGTATTGACAGCACCTCAAGAGTCAGACGGCGCGGCTCATTGACGATTCTCAAACCAGCCAGCCATCCATCAATCTTTCCATCAATCACGCTCGGTCGTCATATTAAATCTTGACAGCCACCAGACTGGACATCGTGAAAAATATAATATTTGTTTTCAGTTGCTTTAAACACCAATTAAATAGATTAAAACCAAGCTCGTGTGTTGCCAGCAGCAGTCAAAAGGAAATGTAGTCAATTCAATTAAATTTAAATTAAATTTAATAGAAAACACTGGGCAAAAACAGGCAACAAAAAGGTGAAGTGAAAACAATGGCCAGAATCCATCGCGAACTGGGCTCAGTGGGGCGTTAAATTGAATTGTTGTCACCACAATTTACACAGCCACGCCCTCGTTTCCTCCATTATTCTGACTCACTTTTTGCAAGTTATTGTTGTTGTGGTTTTTTGTGCATTATCGGGCTTCTTTTCTTCTGTCATATTATTACATTATTTGCCATTTGCTTTAGACCAGCCGGCACACAAGTTTTTCCTTCGCTTTTTCCCTTAATATCCCGGCATCCGCCGTTTTTCCGAGTCGCTCTCTCTTTGTCCCCGGCCATGGGGCGTATGCGTATTGTAATCAAGTCATAAATTTGCCCGACTGCGAATTGGTCTAAAGCGTTACCAGGCATTTTCCCGGCCCACAAGCAGCTGTAAACTGCTTTTCAGGCCGCACGTGCCAACCAACCAGCCAGAGAGAGCCATTCAGACACATAAAGATTTATATCTTGGGTGGGCCACACTTTTTGCCTCGTTTTTGGTTTTCAATAAGAAAGGATTAAGTTGAGTAGGAAAACTACAAACGACAGTCGAGCTTTCCACCTCCTTCGCAACCCATGAAAGCCAATAAAAA